TTTTTTTTTACAGAGTTATAAGCCCCTAATAACAGATTTTTATTAAATAAATGCATTATTTTGCTTCATCAACAATAAAATCTGAACTAAGACTTTTAGAAAAGTTGCTGGTAGGGATTTGGAGTAGTAAATGGTGTCATTAATTCAGCATTAAAACGGGGATCGTGGGTGCTCCGGTACAAGAGAAATTTTAGAAACCGATTTTTTCCTTTTAACCCTAAAATCGCAATTAAGACGCCACCCGTAAGATGACATGTGTAAATGTTAATTAATTAAGTCACTGAACACTAAAGATTTATCAATTACCCAAAAGAATGTATGTAAGGCAGTAAATGGTCAAAGAGTAACAACATCATGAAAATAAAAGCATCTAAAGTCATCTTACTAGGAACTTTCCGAACAGGCCAATCAATGAAAGCCAACGAACTTGAATTGATTCAGTAGCTTTACCGGTATAACAGCACGTCATACCACCTGTTAACCGTGTTCAGCAGAAAAAAAAAAGATATCTTCTCTTGCCAAATATATTTTACTCAAAATATCCATCGCTGCAATTGCTTAAATGGAAATTGCACCAGTAATTAAACATTTTAATATTTTTAAATTCCCTCTTAATTAATTAATTAAGACCCTAAGGGGTCTCGCTAAAACTAAACCAAGGCTGTTGTGAACCGCCTTTGATCCATTTTATTATGATCCTCTTCAATATCATACGTAAAGCCAAAATACTAGTAAATCTTAAACAAGTCGGGTTCTCAAACGCGGCTTCTTGTAGCCTACATAATGAACTTTAACTTGGACCTCATCGAATTGTATATCGTACCACCTGTTAACCGTGTTCAGCAGAAAAATGATATCTCCTCGGTGGAATTGTTTGCAAAATATGTTTTATTTAAAATTTCCATCGCTGCAATTGCTTATATGGAAATTGCACCAGTTATTAAACATTTGAATGTTTTTTCCCCTCTCTTCTTAAGATCTCGCAAAAGTAAAACACGCCTGTTGTGAACCGCCTTTGATCCCATTGTAGGCCTACTCTTTAATATCTTGGGTAAAGCGAAAATCAATTTGAGTATTAAACAAACTCCTAGCTCCGTGTCGGGTTCTGAAACACGCATGGGTTCCTGTACATCATGAATTTTACCGTTCATGATAAATGCGGCACCTGGTTTATCGAATGGGATAGCAGATACACACATGTTCATCCAAGCTGGCCCTCTCCGTGGCAAGGTTGAAAGTTCCCATCCGATCAATACGTATCAACGAAGCTGANCTTTGATCCCATTGTACTCTTTAATATCTTGGGTAAAGCCAAAATCAATTTTAGTATTAAACAAACTCCTAGCTCCGTGTCGGGTTCTGAAACACGCATGGGTTCCTGTACATCATGAATTTTACCGTTCATGATAAATGCGGCACCTGGTTTATCGAATGGGATAGCAGATACACACATGTTCATCCAAGCTGGCCCTCTCCGTGGCAAGGTTGAAAGTTCCCAGCCGATCATTACGTATCAACGAAGCTGGCGTTGCTCCGTGGTAACGATGCTGTCTCGCATACAGTCAGACACTGGTACCCTGGTTCGAGACCCACCAAGTATAGTACCGTTTATTTTTTTCCAAAATTAAAATTTAAAAATTCCGTTTGGTTACTATAAGAGGAAACTCGTAAGTACGGAGGGTGGGCGCTTCTGTCACGGCGCAGTCGGTAGCGTGCTTGGAAATGAGTTACCAGAAGCGCCATCAACCATGGCAACACAAAGTCACGAGTTCGAGTCCCGGATCAGGCACGTCAGTCCATCACGACAACGACCGAGCAACTGAATCGGGACCCGGAAGTCACGAGAACGAATCAGGGCTCTCGTTGGTCCTAGCAAATTACCGTTTGCATAAAAATACGGTATACTTTAGAAAGTTTACATTAAATGATCCATTTAAAACGAACATATTGCTGGTCGTTAGAATAAAGTCTGCGTCGTCAATAATATTTCCTTTCTCTTCAGTTAAAAGTCCATAGATTGGTGACACAGATCTTGTACTTAAATTGAGCTGTAGCTAACTCCGTATGTTCTGCATTCATCAAAATGTGCTATCTTCTCGGTGGGATTATCAGAGAGAACATTTTTATTTTTTTTACAAAAGCCTCTATTTCTTTTAACAAGCACACATTTTGTCTTTTCATGCCCCTCCTTTCCTTTTCTGCGCCCTTGTTTCTCAAGACTATTCATGTGTTCATACAGTACCCAGGGCAAGTCCGCGGTCGTCATTTGAAAGAGTAAAGACTACTCAATACTAAAACCGCCCAGATGTGAACAACTGTGGACCTCATCGCACTGTATATCGTCAAAGGTGAAAGCAAACGTTATCTCAGTTCAAAACAAAATGAAAATAATAGTATATGAAGTCATCTTACTAGGAACTTTCCGAGCAGGCCTATCTATGAAAGCGATCGTGACAATTTTTATTTATTTATTTATTTATTTATTTATTTCTTTATTTATATTTTTTGCCAGAATTGATTTCTAGAAATTGCCATGGATTACTTTAATAGAAAACGTACGTACGGAGGGTGGGTGGGTCAGTCACGGCGCTGTCGGTAGTGTGCATGGATGTAAAAAATAAGAGGCAGTCATCAACCATAGTCACTGAAAGCCACAAATTTGATTCCAGGATGGCGCACGTCAGTCCAACAACGACCGGGCGCCTGAATCGCAAAGTCATGAGAATATGGGCTCTCGTGGGTCCCACCAAATTGCCCTTTGGATAGAGGAACGATTTTTTACCCCAAGAAAACACAGCGATGAGCATAAGCACCGTCTCACCTGTCGCATTCTTCACATTCCTCGGTCTTTGCAACAATCACGAAATAATACCCTTATCAATTTTTTTTTCATCTGATGAATTTTTAACGTTATTTTTTGGCTACTCCACCTAAAATCTTGCTTTACTATAGAAAATATTCAAATGCAAGCAAATCCCATTTAACATGTACGTTTGTTCACTTTTTTTTGAAATTCCAATTCCGTGCCAATCACTTCAATATACAGTATTATGGTGCATTATATGGATGCCTCACTGCAGACACTGCATATCCATTAGTCAGACTAGGCCTACGTCATTTCGACTGAAAAGTTAAAACCGTTATTTACAGCCTAGTATGCTATTATTTAGATTCTAAAAGTAGACCTTTGGTTATCAACGAGGATGGTGAGGACCTTCTGTAGATTGGCCTGAATTCACCGTGAATTTAAACTATGCTATTAAGACTTAATGGCTGTGGTCATCAGAGGGGATTAGTTAGACCTGAAATTTGATAGTGGAACGTATACTGTAGCTGAGAAATTCCAATTTCAGAATAGCAGACCCATCAAAAGCGTCTAAAAAGGAAAGGGGAGGGGTACAACAAGTAGCCCAGCGACAATTATTTGAATCGTCCAGCATGCCCAAACTCATTAGCGGATTGAGAGATATTTTCTGTCAGTCTTTCAAATTATCTTTGTTGATCCATCCTCCATTTTTGACCGTCTTCCGACAGTAAATATAAGACGCCTGTCAACTTAAAACCCAGAAGACAGCTTCCACCCGGGCCTGCAACCTACAGGATTTATCGCCAAATTTCCTAACAGGTAGCCTGACGATTATTCTTGTAATTGTTTAGTATGCCCAAACTATAGAGATTTTCACACCAATTTTCTCAGTTCATCTGCAAATAACATATATACGACTTTTTGCAGAAGATAAAACCTGTACGCAGACAGACTAAGCCCGTCCTGCTTGAAACTAGACCTTTCATTTTAGAGACCATTCCCAGACCCTATCGTACTAACTGTGGATCGATCTATTTCCAAGGGGATTCTCCCTAAATTGCAATCAACCTAAGGGACTTACACCCCATTTCCATAGATTAGATCGACCTACTTTAGATCGACCTAACTCCCTGGGGGTTCACGCTAAATAGCTGTCAGCCGGGCGGACACGAAAGTTAATTACTCCCTTACAGCTTGTAGAAGGCGGGACGGATATTTAAGTCGGATTATCTGAAAGTAATCTAGTGAGACTCCCCGGGGGGATAGATCGATCTAAAATCTATGGGAATAGAGTCTTAGATACTGAAACTGCTGAGGGGTAATTAATTATCTTTTAGCAGCTTCAGTAGACATGCCAGACATCTTAGACGCTAAAGCTGAAAGCAATTTAGCGAGAAACCCCTTGGAGATGGATCGATCCTGTTAGATCGATCTAGGTATGGGAACCCATTCTTAGAACCCCATTTATTATCACCCACGTACGGAAGGGGGGCAGATATTTGCCCTGCATTGTAATCAAATGGACATTAAATGATATACACCATACTAACCCGAACCCCCAACAAAGCATACTTTCTGTCATAAAGCATACTTTCTATCATAAATGGCATATGCTATCTGACATAGCTATAAATTTCATATAAAAGACCATTATTTAACGGTCACGCTTTGCGTGTCTTGAACGGACGCCAAACCAAGTGCGTAACGTTGAACTTTTTTGCCCTGTCTGTCTTGTGCTCTGTTTGAATCGGAATCTTTGTAAACATCTCGCTGTCGGGGACATTTAGAAATTCACAAGTATTTTCGGTAAATTCCCCTAATTTCTTTGTTTATAGTTTTTTAATTCTTCATAACACGTTGTGTAATGTCTAAAAAGTTGTCTTAATTGTTAAGCTGATTAAGAAGTTAAGTTCAAGCATCCTTTGTCTTGGTTTGAGATTAAAGAGTGAGATTCCCCACAAGGTTGGATCGACCTACTTAGAACGATAGCTTCATTGGGAACGAGCCCATGAAAAGGGAGGTGTTATTGCTACAAAATCTGCATGATATCCTGAAGTAACAAAGTTTATTTTAAAAAATAAATAAGCCAGGATCCCACGTGTATTTTCTCACTGATGATCAGAATAACTTTCAGAACACTGTCAACCTACAATCAGCACGTACATTGTTCAGCGTGTTAACAATAAAAGTAGATCACAGGTTCACTTGCCAAGACTTGTATCAAGATTCATTAAGTAACAGTGAAACCCGTCTATCTCGAGCTTATAATTATCAAAGGTTACCTCATCCCATTACGTCAGAATCTTTGAAAACACTTAATATGACAGTTGAAAGATTTGCTCTATGCATAACCCTTTGCCTAAAGGGAAACGAACTTTTGTATCGCTGTCATATGATGTCCGCCTGAGAGAAAAGGGACAATTTCCAACGAGATGACATTTTGCAGATGTAGACGTGACTGTTTGGTCAGTGTAGGGCGGCAGGTCAGCTTTGTCTCCCGGTCACGGGGACGTCCTGTGTCTTGTACTTATGAATTATGGGGGTGCCAACGTGGTGCGTTGCCCTTAAGCGACATCGACGCAACGTCAAGATATGCATAGATAGGATCTCGTTAATTTATGTGCTGAAGGGCCACACATGGCGCGCACTAATACGTAAACGCACGTGCATCAGACAACTGAACAAGCAATGGTAAAAACAGAGGGACGCTATGTGAAATGTATGTGTGCGTCGGTTGATGCGTGTGCATGTCAGTTGTGTCGTGTCTGTGCGTGAGTCGGGATCTGCAAGCACAGGATGGGAATACAGAAGCGAAATTTAACGACAATAGCAGGTCCAGGGGACGAGGTGGGCGCATTTGGCCACGCGCACCTCACCCCCCCCCCCCCCCACACACACACACACACATAGCTTTGAGAGTACCACTTTACCCCGTTTTCCCCCCAAAATCAAAATAGCAGGCGAAACGACAAAGAAGTATCTTTGTTCCGTACATATTACCTTAAATTCATCATTGAATGATGTCTACCATTTAACTTTTGTTATTTTTTCGATAATTTTGAATTTATTTTCATATAAAGATTGTTAAAAAACCAAAATAAGAAAGAGATAGAGAGAGGATGGTGGGAGACTCAAACCTTTCAACCAGTAAAATAGGGTACGTATTTATAATACAGTAGAAGACATGCGCACACTGCTATTAGAGACAAGGTATTCAGCTGGGATGGTAAACATGCCACTTAGGTGACTGTAATGAGTAAATAATGCTCATGATTTTGCAGGTAAAAGACCGTCTTCATGCCTTGTCAAGGAGCGGTGATTTTAAGAACCTTCTCTTATAAATTCCGATTTCTACTGTAATTAATACTGTCGACATTACCGTTGGTATTCTATCCCCAAAATGATAATAATGATAACAATAATAATGATAACAGTTAACAGACCACCACCTCCCCTCAAAGAGGGAGAAAATATTGAGACAGAATGCCCAACGCAAAAAAAAAAAAAGAAAAAGAAAAGAAAAAAAAGCTGAAGTATTGTGTGAATGCGTGTGTGTGTGTGTTTGTGAGGCGGGGGGGGGGGGGGGGGGGNCACTCACCCTAAATTTCACATCCCCGTCCCTGACTGTCCCCCTTTCGTCACTTTTTACTCACCCTGAGTTTCATAGCCCCGTCCCTGACTGTCCCCCTTCCGTCACCTTTCTTTCACCCTGAGTTTCACAGCCCCGTCCCTGACTGTCTCCCTTCCGTCTGCTCTCATTCACTATGAGTCCTAAAGTGCTAATGATGATATTCTTTTACTCAGCCTTACATGCTTTTTGCACCTTGTGAAAGTCAGGGTTGTCGTTATTTTGTGGTTCCAGGGTTATCTGGTGGTGTGTTTAGCATTTCTGTGTGGTGAATAAACTATAGGTTTGCAATCCTTGCAATCTTACCTACAGAATTCAGCTTTTACTTTACTAATGTATTTGTAGATGGCATACCAAAGTCAGACTTTTTTGTTGTTTAAAGGTACAGTAGTCGATTTTTTCTAACCTCAATAAAGGAAGATCTGTGATTGGCTGGAATCATGTGTAAAAATGAGACGTTTGAATCATTTAGAAAAAATTGCCATTCGCACAGAAATCGAGTTAACTTTATTTAATGGCTACAAATGCAATGTTCGGGGTTGACATAAAAACATTTAAAAAAAGGTTCATGTAGTATATCTTATCATGCAGTACCATAGAGTGATGTTTTTTTCCTATAAATTCACAGACATTTATTTCCATTGCTAATTCTGTGCACATTTTGGTACCAGTTTTGTCCAGTGGGTATTTTTCGCACAGAATTTTCAAAAATTATACCATTAATCAGCTTGCCACCCGTAGAAAGCATAGTAGGCCTATTCTACACAACTTATTTCTCTGTGTATGCTTGTTGTTTTGATTTAAGAAATCTAGATAGTTAATCAGCTCGTGTTGCTATCTAAAGAATCTGGTGACACGCAAAGCCTGCGGGGCTCAGTAATCTGAAGAGCGTATAAAATTTCCTCTGCACATCTGTCAAGCTTTTTTATTTTTAGTCAAGCTGTGGATGTTTTGCCGTGTGTGTGTGTGTGTGTGTGTGTGTGTGTGTGTGTGAAAGAGAGAGAGAGAGAAAGAAAGAATGGAAAAAGGAACGAGACAGGGAAACGAGTGACTCTGCGGCTGAAAGGTAATACGTTTAAGAGGCCAGGAAATTATATGAAAGGGGTGTTACAGACCACCCCATTCCCAAGAGAACATACAATGAGAGAGTTAGCGAGGGAACATTTCAGTTCTACTAGAGTTACGACACACACGTGTGCACTGCGCGTCCATGATTTATCGCATTTATACAAATATTAATATCCTTAGAGGTCCCCTGTGATTTATAGCGTATGGTCTTTGTTTGAAAACTCTGTCCGTCTGCATAGCTAGCATATTCCTGTGCGGACTGTTCGTGATCAAAACGTCTCTGTTCACTTGTAATAAAATGTCATTAGTGTCTTTTATTTTCTTTTTTCTCTTCAAATCTATTTGTTGCAAATTTGAAAAAATTAAAGGTAATAGCCGTGAGATTTACCCGCCAAAATGATTTTTCTTCGGAAAAAAGGAACTTTCTCATACATGTAATACGAATCATTGCTCAACTTGTCCTTGCCTTTGGATTCGATGTTTTATTCCATTTTTAATTGAAAATGAGTTAAAATTGAGTGGCCTGTCGTTAAGAACGCCACACTTTCCTGTACATTTCAGAAGGAACTATTGGCATCAGACACTTTTATTTGAGGGATTTTACAGTTTCTAAGGTCTGAATTGGGAAAGGTCAGTAGCTTTCCAGGATATATAGACAGAAATATGAGGTGGGGAGAAATTTTCAAAAGCGCACAGTGTACCTTTAAATTAGCAATGGTCCTGATATAAATAAAACCGAAAACGAGTAGAAGATAATGTCAGGATAGACTTACATAAATGATGCTGATATAAAAGAAAGAGGAAAATTCCATTCATTAATAGGTCTCAAGGTTATCGATAAATACGCTTATTTTTCCGGGTAGACACAAAAAAATTGTCAATAATATTATCATGGCAATGTATTTTTAAGGGTCATTGAGGTCATATTTTGTGTGGTTTAATCAAAAATCTCTAATAAGGGGGCCAAAAGATCTGAAAACAATAAAAACATAGATACATACGCTCTCGAAACAGCGATGTGGCAATGATTGTCAAAATCGTTATTTGATAAATCGCTCAGATTGGCAACCGTGCAGTCTGCGCATCGCATGCCATAGGCCTGATTCATATTGATAGTATTCACTTGACTCATCTCCCTCTCCCCAAGATAAAAATTTGACCGCGCTTTATATGCGGCGCGCTTGCTGCACTGCGCTTCATTCTGAGAGCGACGTCGTGAAGCGAAGGACAACGCGAAAGCCTCTTGTGTGTTTGTAGAGAGAGACAGAAAACAACGGTGAGTAGCTATGAAAAGATAATATCACATTTACAGAGAGTTGCTCGGTGTGTGTTGTCTCCAAGATGGCCACGTCTGTTTATTGTCAGTATTTAATTCTCATCCAGCGGGCTGGTCGATATTGATGATAATGTTTCTACATTCTGTTGAGGTTTTACTTTCAACAAAGAGGTGGTATTCATTGGGAGAGAAATTAAAGTCAGTTGCTGAAAAGAAACATTTTTCTAAATAGGCATGCTTGCAGCGTTTTGGAGGTATAAATTATGCAGAATTCATTCCCCGCCTAGCTGATTATGCAGTTGGCGCAGCTGTCTTGGTCGCGGTTATAGTCAAGCGTAACACCAAGCATCATGGCACAATAAGAGCTACATTTCTATACGTATTGAGTCATCATTATCGGGTTCAGTTTGATTTGAACAGGACGTCCTGGTCTAGCAGGGGTGGGAAGAGGATTTCAAGTTGATAACGACTCCCAATTTTAAAAGCCGATATCTCGCTATTGTCTATGGGCAGAGATGAGCAGAATTTGTTCTCACTCTGTAAAATGATAGCACGCCGCGGCTGCTGAGTCTGTAACGTTTTTATCTCATCTCTATTACTTGTACATACATATTTAAAAAAAAAAAAAAGGGGAAACAAAGAAATTACGTCATAGTATTCCCTCGTGCACAGTCCAGCAGACACGAGCCCTGTTCGCCTGCTGATCTCTCCAAGGACGGATTGTTCGATGAATCAGTGGCGGCCTGACTGTGGGTGGGCGTGGCTTTGTCTGGCTTGGAGATCACGCGTCTCACGCGCTTCGTGCGCCTCGTCCTTGGTTTTAGAGTAGATTTTCTTTTTCTTCTGGATTTACGTCAAATATTTGCAGTGATAAAGATAACTCTGATAATGATGATTTTGTACTAGGAAACGGAAAATAGACTCGTTAGGATGGATGAAGCGGTATTATTAGTGCTATTTATGCTGGCCTGTATTTATTTTAGTGAACACTGTTGCCTCAGGGACTGATTCAATATGGCAGTCTATGTCGGTGTGTGGACGGGGCCACTTCTTAAAAAAAGGACGCACGTGTAACGTTATCAAACAGTCGTAAATTACGTACTGACATAATGTACTGAAAAAAGCGAAGGCGGCACGTTTTTTTTTTTTTTTTTTTTTTTTTTTTTTTTCGATAATCAAGACCAGGAAAGAAAGCCTCATTGTGTTGACATTACACTGTTTGCTAGGCAGCAACCTGCAGTTGTAGTGCTATTTATGCTGCAGTATACCGCGGAATTTTTATGACGGCTGCGACCCCGATTTACGATGTTTAAAAAGTTATCTCGATGCTCGCCTGCGCTTGCGGTGATGATTTTTCACCAGTAAACTCGACGTGTGTTTGAATTAAGTCTAGTAAATTCAGCCACATGCTTTTAACTTAATAGAAACGCAAACACAGTGTTTGTACTAATCACACTGACTAATAACAGTAATCGCTGACACGAACGATATTAATGAGGCCTCCAGTAAAGTTAACGTATTTGAGTCAAGTTGTCCTTCTGTGCATTTCATGTCTTAAAATACGCATCTCACTATCAATTTACTGGCCTTGTTTTATGACTGAAATCATAAATTGCATTTTGATTTTGCATTCTGCTCAACCACTCCTTGAAAAAACTGAAGATATTTTGTCTAGTCGGTCATCAGAGATTTACTTGGGGAGAGGAAGGGGAAGAGGTGGACCATGTCATTCCATTTCTTCAATCAAGAAAATTTCACGGAGTCTGTCATTGACATTGCCTATACTTGTCTCTGTCCGCCCCGTCCTGCTGGACCACTTCGCATATTCTTATTATTAAATATCTACACATTTTGATGGCTAAAATCACAAAAGTTTTGCATCGATTTGATGGCTTTTTATGTGGCGCCTACCGTCCCCCCCCCCCCTCCTGCACTTGACTGCCAAGCACCCATTAATGTTATGAATATATATTACCACGATATATGTTCTAGTAATGTACGCTTTTACCACCCATCCTATTACACATACAGTAAGTCATTGACAAGGCCCCCTCCTTGCCCCATTGAACTGTTAATTAAGGTTACGCATGCTCGCCCATAGACATCTTGCTTGGTTCAGAGGAAGCACTTGTTCGTACAGGAAAACGCCCATAGGCGAGAGCTTTTTTATCGACTGTAAAAATGACTGAGCATTACCAATAGCATAATATCGTGAATCATACACGTCTGGCGTCGTCATATGGTATAACGGCGTGCACAGAATATTGCTCTCTCGTAAATCGGTATGGTGTTATTCATAGCTGTGTGATGCTTTTGAATCAAGTTCCATGTTTAAATATGAGGTCTTATTTTTTATGCAAATGGCTGTTACATTATTTGTCATGTTGACTTTGGGTGCACCCTGATTGTCAGATGGGTGAAATGTAAAATGTAAGGCATACTGGAGTACACGTAGGGGTACCGTCAGTTCTCACACCTTCAGGGTGATGGAGAGCGTTTATCGATTTTGACGGGGTTCCAAAAGAACCATTTTAGAAATTTGGGTAGAAAATCAACAAAACATACATTTGTGGCCGTTGCGTGCCTAATACTTTTTCCAATATTGTGCTGATGAGCTGGAGCCCCCCCCCCCCACCCACCCCCCGGTTCAAATTATCTTTGTCTGAACGCAAATGTAGAGCATAGTGTAATGTAAAGGAATGGCGGCGCGCGCGATGAACGTCTGCAGAGAGCCGAACATTTTTGCGACTCAGCGTATTGTGAATGTGTGCACTTGACCAAGAAACAATTATTGCACGATGAAAATATTGCTCTTCACTGCCCGCAATTTATGTGAAATCTCATTACAATTGACCAGAAAACCAGTCTTATATTACTTGATAATATATTCTATTGTCATTGAGATAACTGTTCATCCTCTTGCATCTTAAGTGTGAATAGATTTTCATCCATTTGCGTCTTAAGTGTAAATTGACATCATATTTCTATAACATTACAATTATGATGTGAACGGCGTTATTTCACGGAGTGTAATCTTCTATTCTTGGTCTTTAATTTAATTCCTCTTATGTATCTTCTGACAATGTGACCAAATGCATCTGCATTCCTTGCAAGTCAAGTGATTCGCTTCGCTAATTGTGAAAAGGCGCGAGCACTCACGCGCTCATATTGGCAATACATTGCCCCTTATATTCCATCAGACGCAATAAGCCATAATAATATATCCTCGACAAAGACGCCGCCGTTTTCTCGCAGGGCGATGAATCACGACCGACCACAGGCAGAGGATTGAGTCACAGGTTTTCCTTAGCCTGCCTTGTGCGCAAACAGCTCATCGCGGGAGATCGCCATTAAGATAATGTAACTGTCGTCTGCTTGAGATGAGATTTATACGTAATCGCTGCAAAACAGGTAAAGGGCGGCCGGATGATTGAAAGTAACATGAAAATGAACGCAAAAGATTTGGCAAGCCGTGTAGAAAGTGAAAAGACTTTATTTGTTGTGGAGACAGGTAGAAAGTGTTATTATGGTCGCAGCTGCAATGGCAGGGTGGAATACGTTATTGAAGAACCGCTCTACTAGGTAATACAATTTGAAAAAGAAGCGCTTACTTAATACAAAAGGAAAAAAAATCAAATAGTCGAAAGAGACAGTTCATTTGCGCTATTTATTGATTAAAATGAATACTCGTCCAGCTGTAATATTTATGTTTTAACAACTTGTCCGTTTGAGGACTTATTGGGATATAATGGTGGGAATAGAACGCCGAAGAAGAGAGGGAAGGGTGTCGCGTTCACAAAGTTACCTATGTAATTAATCAATTGATGGGTGTGGGGTGATTAAGATCGACAGTGGCGTAACGCTGCCGATAGCGGTAATGCATCACTTGAGAAAAATATAGGGGGGTAGAGAAAGGCTGGCGTACAAACCTTCCACCGGGCAATTAATCAATTTCAAGAAGATAGAATAACAAGAACTGGGGAATAGATAACTATCTTTCGATCGTATCTTTGCTAGTAAAGCATGCAATAGTCTTTTTCTTGTCAGATTTTACCATCTTTGCTGTAGTGGCCAACAGCGATGTCATGTTCGGCCAACTTCGGGTTATTTCGTATCCAAGCAACAGATTGGTTTCGAGTTACGGAAGTTGTTGAGAAGGTTTCCTATGGCGCAGTGAAATATGTGAAAAGAGGATTAATGCGAGCGCGTCTTGTTGTAAATAGGCTTTTATCATTTTGTTAATAAATGCAAATAAGAAATGATAACAATATTGAAATAGGTAAAAATAAATCAAAAAGTGAATTACGTGTGATATATGAGGGTCCAAATAGGAAACCGCAATATACTATATTAAATCACAAAAGTGTGTCTAAAGGGAAATGAGTGAGACATTAAATGCATTGGTTTTAACAAACAGGTTCTAGTTTCATCCTCAAGGACACGCTTGATTGTTCTTCTCTAGTTGTGGCTTCCCCATCTGTCTGCCAGCAATTTGCAACTGTCAGTTTTCAAGGCAATTAACATTGTTTTCAGACTGTATACGGTCGAAAGTTGAAGAAGACACAAACACATGTCATCTTATCTATTAGTCGACGAACTCAGCTGCTCTTGCTTTCCTTTTCAGTTACTGAGAAAAACTGAGTTATTTAAAAAAGTTCAAATTCCGGATTCCTTAAAAGGAAACGTGCAACGATACTGCAGCGCATGGTCTTCTCAAAATGCCAAAAGATCATATCGGAACGCTGCGGTTTAACACATAACAGACAGCTAAGACAGCTACAGCGGACTATCCCAGCTTCACATGGCGTAACCTGATAACATTTCAAATTCCGACAAAAAAGAAAATTAAGCCCTTCATGGCTCTTTTAAGGATGTACATGTACCTAGAATTGATAAGCTGTCAGATGAAAGAGAGAATTAACCCCCGACTCCCTCCGACAATTTATTACGGTAACCAACATCACAGATTATAGCACCTCCAAATCAAGGTTTTACACTCT